TTTTCGACTTTTCACATATTCGTATTACTTTCAAATGGTTATCACGTGTTTAAGGATTCTTTATCTCTTGAGTCTGCCTCATCTGTTAGTTGAAAAAAGGAAACGTGACACCGAAAGCAAGTATGAACTTTTAAACAGAGCAGCAGCTCGTTAGAAAATGAGTTCCCCCCTTTCTAACTCTCCATTTCAATGAGAAGAGAAAAGCATTTTGTGGATCTCTTTGCAAAATGTAATTCAAAATTTTTCAGCGAAGACACTACGCGATTATCATTCTATCTCTTACTGCAGCTATTTTGTTTGCTTCGTAAACAACGCATCAGAAGAACCTCTGTCCATTTTATTTAATGTTTTTGAAGGCACAAGTGGACATTTTGCCATTCGATTATCACGTACAGTTGCACAAAATTCTTTTTCTTTCAAACGAACAAGTAACCCATAAGATGTGAAAAAACTATCCATGCATATCCTGTAAAATTTTGGGTCGTTTTCCGTAGCAAGCTTTCCACAGCGCGCTGAGAAAGAGGTTCCTTGCATTTATCTTGAGCCCCTTGATAAGGAATAATATTGAAGGGGTGTCAGCATCCATAATGTGTATCCGTATTTTACTGGTTTATTCTTGCGTGTGCAGTACTATAGAAAAGTTTCATCTGACGTCATAGCTTCGAATGCCCACAGTGAAAGTATTAGGATCCCAGGTCAAAAAGAAACTTTCCAGGCTAATTTCTATTTAGAATGTTTATCTATTTGATATAAAAATAACACCTGCTACTACTATTACCAAGGAAACATCACATGAATGAAACTTCTTTTACTCAGAAAACCCTATTTAGAAGGTTGTGTGAAATTTCTTTTGTAATGTATTACAAAAGATATCCAAAGAAAATTCCAGAATACAGAAATCAGTAAAACGAATCAGTAAAAAGTGTGCTCTTATGAGAGAAACGGTTCGAACTCAAACGTTTAAGCCCTCGGTAAAATTGTTAAAATTACGGTCTTATGGCCAAGATGTTTCGATGTTAGGCTTTTCCCATTTTGAATTAAAAATGCTGTCTTATTCAAAATTTAGTCAGTAAATGCCTAAGAGACTAATGAAGCCTTTATCCCTTGAGCTATCTGCCTAACCGGAGGGGTGTCTTCGTGGAGGACTTTCTAAGGGAAGCTATTCACATTACACATGTGGAAGGCAAGGGAAAGGGCCATGTATCCATCTTGTTCACTGACACATGAACCCGGATCGAGTTGCCAGTATTCACTAAATTAGTACTATACTACTTTGGTAAAACTAATATAAATTGGTAAAATTAATATTATACTAATTTGGTATTTTCATATTAGTGCTTCTCAGACCTGAGTGCATTTGCCTTTTAATAATACCACTTAGGAACGAGTATTTCTTTACCTTTTTTATTAATTTCTATCTTTCTAACGCTGTGAACTAATGTTTTTCTTTTTTCAAAGAAACCGAAATACACATTTGTTCTCTTGACAAATCTTAAACTTTGGACAAATCTTAAACTTTTAATGCTTTAATTCATTCTTATTTAATAAATTTGTAGTTTAATCCATAATACATTCCATGTGACAGCAAAACTCTGTATCAAAATATTTTTTTACATGTTTAGCTTATTAATGTATGTATTCTGTAGAAGCACAGAAAACTCTAAAATGCTGCTACACTGCTCCGGAAATGTAAGAATGTAAATTCAAGATAAATCTGACTTTGAAGATTTAATACAAAGTTTATTTGACAGTATTTTGTATTTAATGAATAAAAAGGAAGAATATTGTATTCCTATAGTAATTATTTGAATCAATTAACTTCTTAGATTAATTAATTAGTGTTAAAATTTTGGGGGCTAACTAACAATAGTGTACATGTGCTGTTAGCCGTTGGTTACGCAAACCTTTAGAAATAAGATTTCATGGAATTCATTTAACAGATAACGCTATGGACTTGGAGAACTTTTTTTATATATATATATATATATATATATATATATATATATATGTCAATTTTTATCCAATCAAACTTAGAAATATTGACGTAGAGTTAGGATTACAGACAGACTGTGTGAACAAGTTACCGAAAGGAGAACAATTAGAATGTGGAGAAGGTTGGTAAAGTACTGGTTCTACTACAACTGCTTCTTCGAAGTTAAAAGAGGCCCACCAGCGGCCGAGCGGTAAAGTCGCAAAACACTGTTAGTTCGGTCCGAGGTTCGAATCCCGCAAACGGGCTGGCTACATGGGCGTTTTCGTGGTTTTCCCCATGTGTAACGTGCATACGAGCCAGTTTCCCTTAGAAAGACCTCCACGAAGGCATTCCTCCCCTTAGGCAGATAGCCCTAGTAAGCTTTGCCGTAATCTCAATAAATCAATCAAATCAAATCTTCGAAGATAAAACAGGCGCCCACCAGCGGCCGAGCGGTAAAGACGCTGAACACTGGTAGTTTTGTCCGAGGTTCGAATCCCGCGAACGGGCTGGCTGCATGGGCGTTTTCGTGGTTTTCCCCATGTGTAACGTGTATACGAGCCAGTTTCCCTTAGAAAGTCCTCCACGAAAGGCATCCCTCCCCTCAGGCAGATAGCCCTAGCGTGCTTTGCCATAATTAAATACACCATTACACGAAGATAAAACAGCACGGATAACATAGCCTCGAATAGCACGATACCCTCGAGCCTTACATACCTTACTTTCTGTTCGCTGAATTTTCTAATAGCTGTCAAGTGAGATCTAAAATTAATTAAAATTTCAAAATAAGTTAATATGGCTACAAGAATAATTTTTCGTTCCTTCTGAAAGATGGAAAATATATCCTTTTTAGCATTCATTCAATCATTTTTTTAACATTTCATTCTCAACGATATATTTAAAATAATAACACCCTAGTTATGTAACTGTAACTACTGAACTGGAGGTGAAAAGCATTTTATAATTCTTTTTTGAAATAGAAATTGGAGTTCTAATTGCAGGTAATGACAGACAAAAATTAAGCTAGCATGAAATAAATTGTAATGTTACATATGAAAAATAAAGCTTTTCTAATCGTTTATTTTCATTTCAAAACTTTACTTTCTAAGCTTGGAAAACAACGAGGCTAGGAGCCATAGCTGCGAAAACGCGACTAGTGTTTATACGTGTGTTAAACCAATCAATAAAGCTAAGCATTTCCTTTTTTTAAAATTTTACACTTCTTTAAAGCTTTCGTGCATTATACGCAGGTTTTTAAAAAAAAATTATGAACTTTTTCATACTATGTATGTTTCATATATCGCAAGTGTCAAGTGAAAATCGAAATTAAATCAATGTTTTAAAATTAAGCCAGCATACTTTTCATTGAAAAAAAAAAAAAAAAAAAAACCTTGTACGCATCGGTTTTATTTTAATTAACATATTGTTTCTTATGCTAAAAATATTTCCTGCACTTCTACTGTTTTCTTAACGCCACCAGAATATATCAATAAAATAAGCTAAAAATCTGAGAGAGAATTCGAGAACATAATCTGAATCCTCTGTATGATGAAACTCTTCTATTCATCTGCATTTAGGGCTGTTGGTATGAACAGGTGAGTGAGTCTGAGTGAAATTAAGTTAGTAGCTGTGAAATATCGGCTGTTAGGCTTTAGTATTATTAAACTAAAATTATTTAAATACGTAATTTATCTTGGTCAAATTAAAATTTTTAACATATAAATAATTTGAATCACCATTGCTTGGGTATCCCTCAGGCAGAAGTTAATATTCTTGACTCTTTTAGTTCTGAAATTTCAAGTTCAAATAAATAAATCCGTTAGTTGTTTTATATCCGTTGTATTTACTAATTGCGCTCTGGTATGGAAAGATTAGACGGAATTAGTATTTATCCGGCAGTCTAGAAGGTTAGGCCATTGTTTAGATGTTTAGAGTTAGCCAAACTGATTTTAACGTTATACATGTACTGATACATTGCAGGATTTGATTGATTTTAACGTTATACATGTACTGATACATTGATTTTAACGTTATACATGTACTGGTACATTGATGTTTAGAGTTAGCCAACTGATTTTAACGTTATACATGTACTGATACATCTTAGCTTTTGACATAAGTTTAATTGCAAAAATTATCGCAATTAAACTTATGTCAAAAGCTAAGATGACATTTTTCAATTTGCTTTGACACAAAATACTAATGATCTGATTAAAAGCTTAGAAATTTGCTTCTGAAATGCAATAATAAGAAGCTGTAAATATAATGGGCATTAATTAGTATAAAATATTTTAGTTCGCCCTACTGGTATAGTGGTAAGCGTCGCTGACTGCCGTGCCGAACGGCCCGAGTTCGTATCTCGGAGGAGGCAGGGATGTTTGTAAATGTATAGTGTCGGTGAGCATGGCGGCACTCTAAATATGCGGCGAGCCGAAATTCCCCTCGTGTGGTTTGCTGGAAGGGGAGAGGGGCGGGAGACTCTCGGAGCCGTCCCTGCGGGGTGCTCTCCATCAAAATTGGGGGCGGAACTGAGCTGAATCGCACTGTCACCTGAATGGTGCTCAAGGATGGCAAGGTGTATTCTAGCGCTCCCTTGCCACGAGGAATTTCGTGGACTTGGGCCGACTTCGTCAGATAATGTGAGCAAAACCAAATATTTTAGAAGATTTGATACAAAAGGGAAATAAAACCTGAATTTCTGTAAATTCAAACTCATCGAATAGAATCTAATTGAGGAAATATCTCCTAAGATTTCTCTTTTTTCTGGTCTTGTTTAAAATACAGAGAATTTCAGCAAAAATATGTCATTTTAAAAAGCATTTTCGGTAATAAATTGAATTGAAATATAAAGAGCAGAATAAAAATTTGACATTAAGAAAATCTTCATTATTTTATTATGTTACAGCCAAAGGTCTTTTTTTTTTCACTTTCTCTAATATAAATGCTTTATGTAGAATAATATAAATCATAAATTGATTCAGGTTAATGAAACCTATGTATAAATTAACTGTTTGCTCTTTTTTAATAGAACCAACCAGCGTCTTCGCAATTCTCGGCTTGGTGGAAGTAACTGCAATGCACTTAGGCCACCTCCTAAGCGCTTTGTGCATAGGACTTGCATGCCCCGATCTTCATTCGAATAAAAACGGATGGTCCAACAAGTCGGAAAAGCTCTTGAACAGTAATGTGAAACATAAATCAGCTAAACAGGTATGAAACGTCTTTTTAATTTTGAGAATATGTAGGTTACCCCTTTCAAGACCGCCCACAGCCAGACCTTTCAAGACTTCTGCATAGCCAGATTTCTCACTTGGAATACGTAAAAAATGCCCGCTTGGAATACATAAAATATGCCCAAAGAACTGTACTGTGTGGCTCATAGTTTTCGAGATAAATGCGAAGAAAAATATGACATCATATCCGGTGCAAGAAAGAAAACTTTATTGGAAACATCCAATCCTATCCAATCCAATCAGAACAATGAGATACATTCCGATGACCTCATTGATCACGTGACTTATGTATATCTTTTGTAAACAAACAATGCAGATGACCTCAGAGATCACGTGGCTTATGTACAGCTAATGCAAACAAGCAAGGTCATTCTTCCTCTTCTTCTCTTGCGGAACGTATCTCATTATCGCTGTTACCAGCTCACTAAAATTATCCGAGTGGGCACCTGAGTTTCAAAGTGTCTGGGCAGGTAGTGTGGGGAGGTCCGAGGTGAGAGAAGAGGGAGTAACCATAAGTTACAAGGTTCGGGGAGGAGCTAAAGCCAAACAAATAGCAAACGGGGCGGAGCCTAGGAGCAATTTGCTTTGGAGAGGTCGAAAGCGCAAAGACTACATCCTTAAGTAGTTATTCCTGATAAGTAAGGTCCGAAGACGTGATTGAAATGAAGTAATTGTTAACATATAGCATACAAAATGCAGATACAAATCCACATACATTAAAATACGTTATATATAAGATATTATGTAGTTGTAAATGCATAGCAAGTGAGAAAAGAAAAACATATTTACAGTATATACACTATGTATACGCATGCTATGTCGGGAAGTTTAAGTCGCGGGTGAGGTGAGCGGCTAGTGGTCTCAACTCTTTATCTTCCTCCAGTATCACATAATCAAACACCTTAAGGTTTTTCATATGAGGGCAGTTCAGAGCTCTCGTAAAGAAGTTACGATTCAATTTAGGCAAGAAAGTGAGGATCGGTTCAATTTTCAGGTCTTCGTGCAGAGTCCTGTTCAAGACGAAGAAATGCGCGTTGGTCATGGTCCGAAGAAGTTTATTTTGAGTAATCTGCAATTTTTCTAACTCCTTATCTCTGAAGGCGGCCCAGGCCGGCGAAGCATAGGCGAAGATAGGGCGGATTACTGCAATGTATAAATGTCTCTTCCTTCTTAGGTCCAGTTTCGAGTCCTAGTTCAGGAGTGGCATGAGGCTCTGAATAGCCCTTATCGTCTTGCCTCGAACACTGATGATATGGTCCTTCCAGTTAAATTTTCAATTGATGACAACCCCAAGGTAGGAAGCCTTGTTCACCATTGGAACCTCAGTGTCGAATATTCTAAGTTTTGTCGTTATTGCAGTTCTGGTGTTCCTCTTCCTGATGAGTAAGAGTTGTGATTTTACTGCATTAATGCAAAATCTCCACTTACGACACCAGAATTCTATCTGGGGCATAACTCTTTGCAGTTTCATTATGGCAAGGTTGGGACAAACAGAATTTACCGCAACGGCGGTGTCATCTGCATAATATCCTAAGAAGTAATTGTAATCTAAATTGGTCTTGGGCAGATCAGCGACGTAGAACAGATAGAGTATGGGACCAAGGATACTACCTGGGGGACCCGGCTCTAATTCTTTTGCTGTACGAAGTGTCCTTACCAATTGAGACGTGGAAAGGTCTCCCAGTCAAGAACGAGTGAACGAGCTTGATACGTGCTGGTGAAAAACCAGCGCTAATGAGCTTAAAGATGAGCGCCTCGTGCCAGACGCGGTCGAAAGCTTTCGCCACGTCCAGCATGAGTAAGGCGATGCTTTGAGGATTGTGCAGAGAGCTTCCAAAATACTCAGTGAGTCTCACAAGTTGTTTGGTGGTGGGCAGTGATCAGCGAAAGCCAAACTGCTCTGCTGGTAATTTATCTAAGTAGGATTCCATCCGTTTAAAAATGACCCTTTAAAAAATTTTTCCGAGTCCCAGTAGCAGGCTAATCGGTCTGAAACCGTCAGGCTTTGTAGTGTCTTTACCTGGTTTGGATAGGACGCTCATTTTCGCACTTTTCCATAAACTTGGGAAATAGTTAATTGTGATGCAGGCATTTAAGATACCTGTATATCTAGTAATGATACCCGGAGGTAAGAATTTAATTGCAACATTCGTAATGTTGTCATACACCGGTGCTTTCTTATTTTTCAGGTGTTTAATAATGTTAAGTATTTCCTGGGGACTTGCAAGTTCTAGAACATTTGCCTTACTGTTTGCTTGTAACCAGTCCTTAATACAGTATCTAACGTCGTAGGTAAATTCCATATCACATGGATCGTTGTTTGGCTTGAACTGGTCAACGAAGTGCTCAGCTAAAATGTTAGCCTTTTCTTTATTTGTCAGGGCAGTTTTATTATTCGCTCGAATGGGCTTGGAGATCGAGAGTTTGTTCATAAGTTTTTCACAAGAAACCAAATAGCACTGTTATTGAGTTCAATGTAGCTCATAATTTTTTCGTCCCAAGTCTCTTTTCTGAACTTTCTAATCCGCTGTGTAATGGTCCTATTAAGCTTATTAAGCTTGGCGTGTCGGTCCCATGATCTGTGCCAATTTTTCCTCAGTCTGTTTCTTTCACTCATTAAGTCCCTGATATGCAAAGGAAGTCTGTCTGTACCATGATTTATCGGGATCAACTTTGTGGCCTTATTGCAGGCAGTATTTATTGTATGTTTAAGCTGATACACAGCAAATTCGATACCTTGTGTAGTCCTGAGACTGCAGGCACTGGGCGGATGCTTGGAAAGGTAATTACTAAACATTTTCCAGTTCGTGATCTTACGTTGTTCGGTGTTTAAGTCTTTAGTGGTACCTAAAGTGGCTACGACAGGTACATGATCTGAATTTAGGTCGTGGAAAACTTCAATGTCTACAGGAATTGAGGTTATGGTAATAATTAGGTCTAGAATATCGCCTTTATCTGGTTGATCAGGCAGATATGTGTATTCTCTGGGTGCATAGAAGAAGATGGGATATTTGCAGACAAATTCAAATAGCCTTTCACCATTAGGGTTTGACTTCCTGCAGAACCATTCCTCGTTTTTGGCATTGAAATCGTCAGCCAGAATCACAGGTCTATCAAGCTTCAAAATATCCTAAAGTAGGTTCACGTCTAACAGCCGATGAGGAGGATTATAAAAAGAATTAAAATATACAATACCATAATATGGTAACAGTATAGAAACTGTAATGAGCTCTAGCCCGTTATTCCGGTAATCACTGATGAAGCATGACCGAAGGGTGTTCTTAACGTACATAGCCACTCCGCCACCCCTATGACTTAGCCTGTCGCATCTATAACTCCTGAAATTTGGAATTTTTAAACTCATGTTCGGCGTAGCATGCGTCTCAGTAAGCATAGCAATGTCGATATGTTGCGAGACCAAAATGTCGTTTAACTCTGGAAGTTTACCCTGAATGCTTCTAGCATTCCACGTCATAAATTTAATGGGTGCTCTGAGAGGGGATTTACTCCCCAGTATTAGCATTGTTGGAAGTACTGTTCTCCTGATTAGGTTGCGTGATCTGTCTCACCTGTTGTGTGATATGAAAGCCGGCCTTTTTTAATAACAGAGAATAATTCTGCCAGATTTCCGAAGATATTTTTGGCTTCCTTTATCAAATCGGAATAGGCCCCCACAGACAGGGCTTGTGCATATGTTTTATTTTCGATAACTCTGCTACCGAAAACGTTTTCCTTTCCTTCTTTTTTCTTGGGGAATTTCTCACACCCCCTAAAACTGGCGGTGTGAGATTGTCCACAGTTCACACAGCATAAAGGTACTTCGAGGTTGCCTTTATCAGGGCAGTCTTTGGACTCATGATCCTTTCCACAGCGAACACGTCTGGGTGTGGCCAAAACCCTGGCACCTGAAACATTGGAGTGGGCCTTGACGCCCTTGTATTCCTGAAACCTGACTCTCGTATCACACAAGTATCTTACATTATATGTTTTCTTTGAGCTTTCCGTCCTAGGCACAGAAACAAGAAAAAGTGGGAGTTTCATAACCTCCGCATTACGATGGCGAGACATTTGCTTAATGTCCTCTACTTTGAAATTTGCACTTTCTAAGTCAACCCTGATATCATCGATTACAGTACGGGATGTTAATGCTTTAATCACTACTTTATTATGTTTTTCTTCAGACAAAACGTAAGAGTGATGCTCTACTTTAAGGTCATTTAGTATTCTAACAATTGCTTTATAAGTTTCCGGATTTTCGGCATAAACCAGGAATTCGTTGTCCGTAAAATTTAAGTTTATTTTGATGAAAATGCCTTTTGATATTTTCCCAATACATTGTGCTCTCTTTGAGCGCAATTGGTGGGATTTTAATTTAATGGATAACTCATCCATGACGGCTAAATTATTATTTGTATTAGTATCCGTGCTAACTATTTCATGGTTATTAGTGTCCATATCATGATTTTCAATATGTGTGTTATCAATCTGTGCTGCTAATTGAGTAACCGAGTTGTCAGTTTTGTCACTAATGGGTAAATTGTTTGTCCTGATTTGTGTCATGTTTGTAAATTTAATTTTCTTAACATGGGAATATTTGCTTCTCGTTCTGACTGTCTGATCACCCTTTCTCCTAACTGGGGTTTCATCTTCAGAACTTGTAACCTGGTCTACTGGGGTTTCTTTTTCATTTTCACTAGTCGAAAAATAATTCAGTTTGATTGGGTTTCGCCCACGTTCATTATCCTCAATTGGTTTTCTATGATCATAAACCTCGTGAATCTTTTCCTCATAGCCTGATTTTTTTCGGGATTTCTGTCGTTTTATCCTTAGTTAATTGATCATGAACCGATTGTAGCATTTCTAACATACTGTGTAAAAATTTAAATAACTTACATTTAGTATCCGTGAAATCTCCGTTTTTCACTCTTAAATCCTCTACGTCCTTAATTTGCAGTCTAACCGCTCCTAGTACGGCAT